GTGTTGGAATTTTGAGAAATCAGTTACATATGATTTTTTTATACTAATTGTTGTTTTGTAATGTCTTTTTATATCATACATACTGTTATCTTGTTTTGTGATGTTTTGTAATGGAATGATTCTCAGTTGATGAGTCTCACATAATACTGTTATGAAAGTTTGCTTTTTTTTCAAATGACATTGCCATAACACACAACTGCTTTCACTTTTTTTGATTTAAAAGAACTGGTCTAGCATGAAAACAGAAAGTGAGTGCCTCCAGTGGTCAGTTTCAACTATACAGGGTCAGCATGCAAATCTAGGCAAGGTCAGGCTATTTTAATAGGCTATTTTAGTAAGGGTTAGATATGCAACTGCAACTTACCACTCCTAATAATAGGCCCATTACAACCGTAGCTATAGCGAATATTGCGTAAGAACCATATACTGGAATATTATAGTCTTCTGTTAAAGATGTGTGTATATTCTGAAGTAGAAAAAAATATATAATGTTGTTAACACAATCATATTTGTTTTATTAATATCAAGTGAAATTACAGAGGTTATTTCCATGGTTAAATTAAATAATTAAAATTTTTATGTTTCAGTATACAACTAATATGATTTTGAGTTTATAATAGCTTTTATTGGAGACGTGCTTCAAGTAGTGGAAATACTGTACTTGACATTATCTCAGCAAATTTTTTTTTTATCTTTTCAATATTTTCTCCAACTGTTAAGTTCAGGCAAAACTGAGTTTGAAAGGAATACCAAATTGGTATGCTTATACATGTATCGTGATAGTATTCCTGCTGGTTGCCATATTTACCATTTTTATCGAGAGAATCCATCAAAATGGACCATTTGAAAAGTGAATGTGTTTTGTGAATTATGAAGTATGTGGTTCCTACTCACCCTCACGACCATTGAGACCTTAAATAACCATCCAAGGAAACTCATTCTGTTGGGGAAATATTTTTTTTAAAATGGTTTAATTAATTTCTTGTATCCAACTGCATCTGATTCACCGGATTAAACAATATTTAATATACAAATATTTAATGAAAGTCAAGACCTACACAATAGAATCTGGAGACTTCCACGAAGGAACTGGCTCAATTTCTACGTATTTTCTATCTTCAATAAACGTCATAAATTCATCTTTGCTTCTTGGACCCATATAACGACGGAATTCACCATTTATTACGCTGCACAAATCCGAGAAAAAATTATTCAAATTACCGTAGGTAAATTGTAAATTCCTGCACAAACATTTCTCAGTAAACATACAATGATATAGAACAATTAAAGAGCCTGTGAAATGGCTGCTATTTTCACGCCTAAAATTATCCATTGATACATAAATATTATTAATTTTTATGTTTCTGAGCATGAATTTTTTTTAAGTGAAAAATGCGTTTTAAACTCTACGGCAACTTTATTTTTGTGTATTTTAAAACGAGGCTCCTCATTAGCTTCTCATTTGCATACAGAAATTCCCCTTGTGACGTCAGAAGGGAAAGTCGCATGGCAGCTTGCATTGCCGATAGTGTCCTATGACATCTATGTACCAAGTGTCATTGAAATGTGATGATTACTACTTGAAATATCGAAAGCTGAAAATTAATTAATTATGCAAATTAGGTAATTAATATGTACTCATATTACCCTAAAAACTATCAGGTCTGTGCAGTGTCCTATGACATCTATGTACCAAGTGTCATTGAAATGTGATGATTACTACTTGAGATATCAGTGGAAAAGCCAAAAATTGATTAATCATTATGCAAATTAGGTAATTAATATTGCACAGATTTTTACCCAAAACTAATCAAATCTGTGCATTAGTTTGGAGCATCTGTGTGCCAAGTTTCATCAAAATCCAATGAGTGGTTCTTTAGATATCAGTGGAACAGTCATTGAACAGCTAAAAATCAGCTAATTATCATGCAAATTAGGTAATTAATATGCATGAATTTTTACCAAAACCTAATCAAATCTGCGCATTGACCCAGAGCATCTATGCACCAAGTTTCATCAAAAACTGATGTATGGTTCTTCAGATATCAGTGGAACAGACGGACACACATACACACACACACACACACACGGACACACTAACTGCAAAGATTCCTTTTTTGTGCTTCGCACACGGGAGTCAAAAATTAGACTATAGTGATCACTATAAAATAATTAAAAAAAACAACAAATCACAGTTACTAAATAAATGACAGCCACGTGGAAATAAATTGACATTTTGTTGAAATAGGTGAACGCTTCGGGTCATGACGAGGGTAAGTGCGTTAAAAGCGGCGTTTAATTGGATAACAAAAATAATCGAAATCGACACACACAGAGTGGATTCAAGTTAGCGTGATCCATGGCGCGATTGCCGTAATTATAACATCATATTAAAACATCAGAAATTATTACGTAGATCAAGCTGCAAGCATGGAGGTAAAAAAAAGAACAGAGGTGTGAATTCGACATTCAACACCAATCACCAAACAATTCAGAAACGTTTAGCCTTCGAAAATGAAAACAATTAGCAGTGTGTAAGGGCTGTATAATTTCCTGTTTGTCCGACGCTTTGTTTTCGTGTCATTGTCAAAATTGCATTGTCGTGTCATTGCTACCTTTTACTTAACAAGGACTAAATGGTCTCTATAAAACGATAATCAGGATCGCAAAAAAAATCAACTCATTTGAAACACTTGTCGGACGTCTCTCTCTCTCTCTTCTGAAATCCGCCTCGGTGATCATGGGCTGGTCCGGAATCTATTTATTTCAAAAGTGTTGCGCAAGGTATACGTTGTCGGCTTTCTCTTTAAACCTAGTTTACGCCGACCGAAAAATGTACATGGTATATCGTTTAAAAGTATACTGAATGGCCAATGTTATTATTGCTCAGGGAGTATGACTTCCTCTCACATTTTGTCATTTGGTGGCGCACTTTCGGCGAGAGTCGGAAATCCGGAAACAGCCGACCGTTTCAGAATAGGTGGGCGTGGCTACAACACGAGAAATATCTCACTTGAACACGAGTAATCATTTTCAGCAAAAAAATCAATAACTGTCCATTTCAGTGGGACACAGGTCTAAAATGGGAAACGTGAGGGTTGGCATTGCACAGGCACTTTAATACGGTACTAATAATAATCGCTTACTGATAAATTGAAGGCAGTGATGTCACCATGAATCGACCACTCAGACCTGGTTCCTGAGTGACGTCAACTTCAGCCACTGTGATGTCTAAATCATCACTCCATTCAGCAAAATTATTCCATGTTGCTTCAAGGCCTTTGCAGGCAGGACACCATGGAGCATAGCTAAAAGGAAAAGAAACGACACATTCAATGTATTGACACATTCAATGTATTGATCAGTTTAATAAAGTCTCCAAATTGTGCAGTGAATGCGAGCAAAAGAAACCTGGTCAATTAGATTTTAACTGGGGTGAATAAATGTTGTAATAAAAACGATGAAATGATTTAAAGATGAGAACATTGAATGACGACAGCCACTAGTAAAACAAATACTGGAATGCTGTTTTAGTTAATTTTAAAAACACTGCAGTGATGATATCTATATCAGTCGATAACCAGTCAAAACAACCACCTACGTGAATAAAATACTCGAACCTAAACCCTAACCCCCCAATGTAATTGTATTTTCCCCTCCAGATTACTATGCATGTCTTGTGGAGGAAAACACTTGTACGATTAAATTTGGAGAGGGGCATTAAATGGGCAATGTTAGGACACAGTCCCTCTATCCCCGGTCTGGAAACGGTCATTGTATTAGTGAATTGGCCTCCTTCCCTGGCAAAGGCGAATTGCGGGTATGGGCAAAGCATCGTCACATGATCAGTACGCAGCCTACCACTATTTTTGACATCGTCAGTGTTGTATTTTTTTACAACTTAGTTGTTTATTCCAGAATTCGTGCTTTTTCACATAATTTTTTAATCAGGATATCTGTATAAGGTCATATTTTAGCCGGCGAGTAGTTCTTTAATTCATCTATTTTACCAGCAGCGACACATTTTCGCAACAAATTGCCATACCTTTACCTAGATATTTGTCGTTTTTGGTTTTGGGGTGATTGAAATAAACTCTATTTTATTTACCATACTTCTCGGCACAAAACCAATATTTGTCTTCGATTTTGACATTTTATGATCGAAACATATCATTAAAAATTGGTAGACTGATTTTTTATTTGTCACACTGCATTTTATTAATGTTAAATTGAGCGACTTTTATGGATGCTTTTTAGATCGTAAATGCAAATGGCGACGTTTTGAAATGACAATGTACTCAATTCTGTGCTAAAAAAAATCATTTATAAACAAACATTGAAGCATTGTTATATACTTTTGCATAGAATAAAGTCATTAGTTGTTGTATAGTTGACTTGAACTGTTATGAACCCCCGAAGAATCAGAAATACCACAGGTTTTTCGATCGACTATGTTAACATAAACGACGCCATTTTGACAAGATTTGTTTAGCAAAGTTAGCATGTTGGCACGCGAAGTTTTTTCCTTATTAAAACTAGAAAACGAACATAATTCCCGATATTAATCTTTGCATTGCAGGAATTGGATATTTATGAGTTGGTAGGCTGGTTGTGATGCGTATCAGGGTTCAAAAAACCCAAATTTCATAGTGATAATTTTGTTTACATGTTTGTTTACGTTGTGGTTACCTGAATTTGAAGTCAAAGTGAAGTCATACAATGAGGTATCGCTTTGCATGACAGTAAATTTTCCGATTTTAATGAATACTTTGACGGTATTGTCATCTGTCTGACTTCCTGACTCCCTCGGCTCGGGTGTGAACGGTTTGTTTACCCGCACCGCGGCTTGAGACAAATATAATTTTTTTTCACTGGCTTGTTATATTTACCATATTAGAAAATGCAAACCATATTGAAAAAAAAACTTACTGGATTTTATTTACGATAATACCCATCCAATACATTGTGAAAATAACGA